CATCTTCTGCAAGCAAGTTCAAGTGTCAATTAGTTATCACCCAGAAAGCAGAATAGATTGCATTGTCCACTAGATGTATGTACATGTAATAAGTGCAACTCAATTATGCAAATACTAAAAAAGGTGGGGAAATAACACTGATGTAAGAGAGCATCACATTAAAATCACATCACATCTACACCCAACAAGTAGCACCTTTATGCAAAAAGAGACTATTTTTAAATCTCTCAACTTCGGGCCTGCTTGAAAAAAGAGGTTTTTGCCTCTTGTCTAGCCTACAATGTCTTTTTTGTTGATAGATAAGCTCCAACATAAGCTATGCCAAAAATACTTACAATGAAACAAGCTATTTAAGCAAAGTGATACAAAAAGAACCCAAATTCATGACATATTTTTAATATACTGGAGGAGCCAATATAAACATAAACGTAATGCCCCTTCTCATTCTGAAGAAATTCAACTTGCGCTCAAAATATTATAAGGCCGCTATAATATATAGACGCATAGTGACTGCATTTGGTCTACTATATTTCCAAGCTTTAAAAAATTCAATTCAAGTATCCTCGTAATATATAATGATGAGTTAATTTGATGAGCCAACCAAAATTTAGAGAGGGATATGTACCGTATAGGCAATCGCCGTCTGGAGGTCCAGAAGACGACGAGGATGAAGAACAAGAAGAAGAGTCGGAGTTGAAGACGGAGGACAGCAGCTTGGCGGCCCCGGAGACAATAGTACGGGTGGCGGGAAAAACGAGTCCGGTGAGCCAATTGGGGCTTTCGGGAGGGGGAGGAGGAGGCAGCGGCGGCGGGGGGCGGTCGTAGGGGGTTGTGATTTTCCTACGCCTTTTATTGACTATTTTCCCGCCGGATCGAGCTCCGGCGTAAAAATTCGTCGCCATATGACCGTCCAGTAGAGAAAGAGAGGGTTTTCAGGCTTCAGGGCGCTCCATTGGGGACGGCGCGTCGGATATACAGTACGTATGCGGACGCGTGGCTTAACTAGAAATCCGACGGCTAGACTTCAAAAACGCAGAATGTTTTTGCGTGACGAGTCATGAGCGACTGCGCGCCGTTATCACGGGGCGTCAACGGTACATTATTTGGCATTGGACAATCCCCAATAGTTTTAAGTCGAGTGTTCCACTGATCATTTTAAAGTTTTGTTTTACTCCATAGAATTTTTCACGCCAGCTTCAATTATCTTGAGGAAAATTGCAAGAGGGAATCAGCTATTAGACGGTTCGATTAGTTTTTCACTCCTATATTCATGTCAGATCTGATTTATACGTCAGTATCGCTTCGAACTTCCACCAGAGTTTCCTCTGGTTTCGCCCGGCTCAGGCATAGTTTACTATCTTTTGGGTCCCGACAAGTATGCTCACACTCGAATCCTTCTCAAAAGATCAAGGTCAATCAGCGATGCGTCGATGCACCCCTTCAAAGGGATCCCACCAATCTTTACTCACTCGTTGACTCACACACATGTCAGACTCCTTGATCCGTGTTTCAAGACTGGTTGAATGGAGAACCCATAGGCTAGTAACAGGAGCACGCTAGGGGTGCATGCTGCTTCCACGATCCAAGAGACGGCTTTGCGCGGACGATCATTTTAAAGCCTTGCTTCAGCGGTGTGTAAAGGTTCTTATATTATTACACATTTAGAGGTTATTGAAAAATCTTGATCAATCAGAAAGAGTGAACCTAATGTATAAAAAAATTTAAAAAAAAAATTAAAAAAAAGTTCAACTCTCTAAGTGAACTATCTATTGACCTATTTAGTTTGAGTTGGTCAATTATGGATTACTTAGTGTGATTTACCTTTTTGTGATCATTTACCAACTAAGATTACAAGACGAATTTTACTCAATACACCTTCAAATAGCGGTTGCACGCTCTCTCATAAATCAAAATGGCAAGATAACATTTGTGAATCATTAATTAAGTTCTAAATACTATTTTATGCACAAGAATTTGAGCTAACATATTAGGTTTATATTTGATGGGGAGTACTCTTAGCTCGTATACACCTTTGTGTGCTTGGTATCTGTGCCGAGGACCGAGAGGATCACTTCCCAAGTTCCCAGGCACATCCAACATATTTGGATCACCCGATCTGGGTGAAGGTCAAGAAATACTCGCAGGGAGTTTAATAGTTACACCTCATGCTCGGACTTTAGGAATTGACTATAGAAAAATGAAGCATTTAATCACAAAATTATATATATATATATATATATATATATATATATATATATATATATATATATATATATATATATATATTTTGGAGATGTCCTTAGTCTAATTTAAAATATTTTTTTAATGAATTATGTAAACTTTTTGAAACTCAACCAAATATATTTTTTTAATTTACATAAATCTCGTAACCACAATCTAAATGTATGCTCTGAATTGTTCATAATTGACCGATTTAAATTGATAAGGAACTATTCAACTAATTTGATTGAAACCTGAAATTATCCCAAATTAACTATTTTAATTTTTAGCATTATTTTCTTTAACTTTGTTCTTTGGGCTTATGTTGAGAGTTTTAAGGCCTTATATGATCGTAATTACGGAGTATAATATATGAAATCATCGTAGCCCATTATGATTCAGTTGTTCTTAGTTTAGGAAATATTTTATTGGCCTACAACCATGGTGCAATTTATATCCTACACCACTGCGCGCGTTGCACTATGCGCCCAGATACAAAACGACGTCGTTTTAATTTTATTTTTTTTTTGAAATTTTTCGCCCCAGTGAATGGCAGTAGTTTTTTCTTTAAAAAAAAAAAACCCGTTGTTCAAGAATGTACATAATGTTATACTAGAATACACATAATTGTATACATGAATGTACATAATTATATAACAAAATATACATACTCTTTTTAAAAGATAATACACATAATCTAACATTATACATAATAAACATAAACTTTTAACATAATACACATCAACTATTAACATAATACACACAAATTTTCTGATTCGGATGTACATAATTGTATAAAAAGAATGTACATAATTGTATAAAAAATATACATAACTGTATGAACCAATACACATAACTGTATGAACAAATACACATAACTGTGTGAACAAATACACATAATCCCAGCAATTTTTTACCGCGCCTCCCAAAACGACGTCGTTTTGGGAGGCGCGCGGCGCACAGTGCTATGTGCGCCGTGGTGTAGGGTATAACGATTGTACAACCATAGTGGGCAATCGTTATGTTGTGTAAATGGTGCATACAGTTGCGAACGACGCCGTTTTATTATGGTGGAGTAACGGTGTCGTTAATGGCACCGTTTAACTCCACCAAATAATTTTTTTTTTTTAACTTCAATCTGTCATAAGTCAAAACAGAGTACCAATAACCTGTGTGGATATATAGTTCATTAATTCTGGATATATAATTCACTAATTCTGAATTTATAGTTCATTAATTTTAAATATATAGTTCGAATAGCAACGGGTAAAATAATACTAGACACTTGAGCTGTCGAACTTAATAATAGATGGGATTGAATAGTTATTAGGTTCAAATGAAAAGCATGTTTAAAAGAAACACATTTTATTAGGCCAGCGAAGATTTGGTCACGAACATTCTCAAATCTCAATCAGGCCACGAACATCCATGGCCACACGTTTTTAATTTAATATTAGTTTTTATGAAGAAAGACTAAAATTTATGTGGCCACTGTATATTGTAAAATATATGTAATGCCCTTGTCACTTTGGCAAATGCCAAGCAATTAACAAATAATATAATGATGAAAAGGATTGAAACTGGATAAACTCGACACTTTAGACCAAATGCTTCCCAACTACAATAAATATGCGCAAATTATTGTGTGCATCATGGTTTATGCAATGTTGTGTGAATATATAATAAAAAGTATATTTTTAATATATTAAATGTACATTATTCGTGTATTAAATATACATTATACAAAATAATGTACTTTTAGTATTTAAATAACGTACTTTCCCTAGATACAATGTACATTTTTAATATACTAAAAATATTGTTTAACGGATTGCTTGCTTACTAAGCAATCCTAACCTCTCTTGGCTGAACTCACCAATACTGAATGTACATTATTTGACAATATGATTCACACAGCTGTAAAAGGCAAATTATGTTGTGCAACCGTGTGCACCATGCACACGGTCGATGTCGTTTTGACGTCCGACTTTTTAAAAAAAAAAAAAAAATCAGTTTCGATTGCCGTCAACTACGTTATGTTGTGCATAATTTGAACTATATATCCAGAATTAATAAATTAAATCCAGAATGAATGAACCAAATATCCAGAATAAATGAACTAAATATCCAAAATGAATGAACTAAATATCAAGAATGAATGAACTATATAGTTCAAATTATGCACAACATTTTAACGACAATCGAAACTGAATTTTTTTTTTTAAGTCAAACGTCAAAACGACGTCGTTTTTGCAACCGTGTGCACCCCAAGTACGAATTAGACGTTTAAATATCATGTAAAATTGTGCAATTGTGCATCGTATAATATGTAAGAACAAAGTTAGTTAGACGAGGTTTACTCAGTGACACTGGTGACACTCAATACAAGGTTTACTCAGTACGAAATCTACCTAGTGGCACAATAAGTGAGATTTATCCAATGGTACAGTACATTGAAAAGATAATCATAAATGTACGAATGAAATTTATCCACACATTTTCAGCAAACATATATAGCATTCACCTAAAGAAGCTCATTAAAGAAGAATAACAGAATGTTATCATTCAATCAGAGCACATAAAGAAGAATAACAGTATGTTATCATTCAATCAGCACAAACATTTGCCTCTCAAAGATTCATATATTTTAGTGAATAGCATATAATTCTGAGAAACTTCATAATGTGGGTTATAATGTTGTATGCTTGGTAAAATTGTACTTTGTGCATTGCCAAAAGTACATCTTAAACAAAACGAAAAAAAAAAAAAAAACAAAAAACAAAAAGAAAAGAAAAAGAGCAGGCCTTAAACTACAGAGTCAAAAGAAACATGAGTAGCAATAAACCATAGTTCTCTCTGTACATTGAAATGTCACATTAAAACCAACTGAAACTTTAAAACTTCACACCACAAAGCAACTTTCAGCCTGGGCTTCAATGGTTAATATCATCACTGCTAAGACTACTCTTCATCTTATTCAAATCAAAAACATGTAAAAGGATGTTTTTTGAGAAAAAAACAGAAGGGGATCTGTACAAGAGGAAACCAAATCCATTCCCTCAGAATCGTGGTAGGCACTGATCGAGGTTGCTTGAAAAGAATTACAAGGGCGAAGAGGGCCGAGATGGAACAGCAGAAGCCTTGCAGATAGGGCACCAATTCTTCATCCTTAACCACTGATGAACGCACGCCAAATGGTATCCATGTTCGCATCCCAACATCCCCATCTCATCCCCGAGCACATACTCCTCCTGCAAACATCGAGTACAATGCATGTTGAGCATAACAAAGGCGGGATATTTTGACATTTCTTCGTAACTATGATCAATGTGGAATGACTTTTTTTTGCCAGAACCCACCAGGTGTCCTGGCCAGACCCTAATTGTAAGAGGCACCTTTAAGCCCGTACCATACTCAAACTAATCCCCGTTCACACCAAGCCGGCCCAATTAAGGGAAAAGAGGGGGTTCGTACCCCCGTCAATGTGGAATGACTTAAATGTTAAGGAGTTCACCCGCCTTGGGAACAAATAAGGAAAGTTGCAGACAAGAAATGAAGTATGCAATAAATACAATCTAATGAGAATACCAAAATCACGAATGGATCCAAGAAAGCTGGCAAACCATTTAGGAGATTTAGAAACACATTTCTAAGTGAAACGCCATTTTTGTTGAGCTATTTGGAATACTGAATTGCAATAATTTATATAACGGGATAGCATATTTAGATATTGGACCTGGCAAATACTGCATTTGTTGTCATCTTCACCCCCTTTCAATCCAGCAACACCTACTCCCGAAGAGGTAACCCGATAGACGCTTCTCCTAAGGCACTTTGACATTGCTTCGTCAGAAAGAGCTGTGCTTACCGTGCCCATCCTCTCCCCGAGAGCTAGTAATTCCTGTAACAAGCAATAAGAAAGTTATAATAAATACAGAAATGATCATAAATTTTTTCAACATACAAGAGATCAAAGACATCAAACTACAAAAGTATAGCAAACCTCGTATGACATGTTATCGATGTCCAATCTCATGTCTCTATGTTGGTCGTAGAAATTCATGCCATTGAGGAACACATTGGTTTCGAGTGCTAGCAGTTGCTGTGGACAGAGAATAGGCACAATTAATCAGAAAATCCCGAGAAAGTAACCAACCTAAGACTCCTATAAACATCCAAAAGTTGACTACCTCATATCGTAGCTCGTCATCGTGTTCAATTCTCTCGAGCTGTAATAATACCTGCAGTGTGAAAGAGTAACCCACCAGGTATACTAATCAAAACAAAGTATTCAAATATAAAAAAGGAAAATACCCCAGCAATTTCATCCATGTTATATCTCCACAAGGCATCACGGTTATTTGACTGACCAAATTCTGCAGAAGGAAAGGGCAATATATTGCGTATATTATTGCCATCATTACCAGGAACATTGTAAGGACTAGATTCACTTGAAGAAGAGTCTGTCGAGAATTGATATGTTGAACTAAGCATACGACCGTTTGGTGTTTGAGGCCGAGGGAGTTGCGAGATTAAGCCAGATGGTTGCGTATGTGTTGAAGTGTTTCCAGTATCTTGATCGTGAGTTCTCAATCTGGAGTTCATATTAGATCTTCGTACTCTAACCGAAACAGTGGGGTTATCCTCACTAGGCCCCCAAGTTCTACCACATCTTGATTCGGAGATTAAAATCCCACGATTGTTAAGAGATGAATGGTCTTCTCGTCCTCCTTTCGAGAATGCCCTACTCGTTGTTCTATTCCCTATAGATGACGAACTACTTTCACCCTCGGAGCTTCTCTTTTTCATAAACCTTGGTTGTGATGAATGTGGAAGGGGATTTGATACCGGATTGCATTTGGGGTTTTTATAGCCATTTTCCACCCCATTATTACGGGTACTCCTTGTCCCGGAGGGAATGTTACTAGACGTTGATAAAACACCGGTCCCTCTCAAATTGTTCTGATTGGCACGCCTAGATTTAGACGACAACCCACTGGAGCAACCCGCTTCCCAAACTCTACTTTTCCTAGGCTCAGAACCGAGCCTCGGTTCTGACAAAAACCCAGTTTCACTTATACTCGACGATTCCATTTGCCCATCCCGAAAAGTTCTGGTTTCCAATTGATCAGTTTTGGTCCGACTACTTTTCCTAGGCTCAGAACCTCTTGGTTCTGACAAAAACCCAGTTCCACTTGTACTTGACGATTCCATTTGCTCATCGCGAAAAGTTCTGGTTTCCAATTGATCAGTTTTGGTGTGAGAGGCCGGCTTTCTATGATAGTCCTTGTGCAATTTCCTCGTAACAGTTCTCGAAGAACTACCAACTACTTCCTTGCCATTAGTAGAGTTGGAACTCAAATTTTGCCTCGATGAATAGGGTTTCGCTGTGCATCCATTCCTCGAATTGTTAAGCCTGCCACTACATCCAATTCGAGGGCAAAACTGAATATTTTCATCCCTATCATTAGGGGTATCTCTCAAACCTCTTCTTGCAACAAGAAGACCACTAACAGCTCTTTTACCCGAATGTTCATCCATATACACTATCCAAAGACAATACAACTGGAAAAAATAAAAAATAAAACCACTGACAACAATATTTCGATAAGAAATATATAACTATATGTGTTCATAAACTCGTGAATAAGAGCTCGGGCATTAAAATTTTGATCACCAAACCAAAATGGAAAAACAGGACAAAACAAGATATTATAACAATCTTGAACAAACAGGGATACTTAACAAATCACCATCCCTCTGGATATTCAATTTAGACATAATCTTCCTGGAAACAATACTGTCCCAACAAGAGCATAGCAATTTTAATATCTTTCTATTAACATAAACAATCATATGTAAAGAACACTGGGAATTTTTCTGGAGAACAATCAGTTTCAATCACCCACCACCACCAACACCAAAAGCAATTATAAAAAAAAATTATCAAATTTGCCCAGTTTTTGGATAAGAAATTTAAATTAATTCCTCCCAAAAAATAAACAAAATTCAATGTATTAATAGCCTATTGATTGATATGGTATCTACCTAAATAGAAATCAACTTTTTTTTTTCTCTCTTTCAGATAAAACCTATTACCAGTAAACAATCACATAAAAGCAAAAGTGACAAAAGAGATTTGAAAAGCGAAAAACAGTCATCGGACACAGAACATAAGTCAACCCAATCAAGAATTCCAAGAACAAGGAAAACCCAGAAACAAGACAGAAATTCAAGTACGGGTTATGATCGAAATACCATGAATGAAAACAATAAACAATCAAACGATCAATCAAAAATTCAAAATAAACAATCACTCAGATTCTATCAATCCACCTGATTGATTCTCTCAAGTTGTTCCGTCTTCTTTGTCAGCAATGGAAGATAGAGAAAAAGGTTTGTGAGAATAATACTCCGTAATAAATAGGGGAGGAGAAAAGAGACGTGTACGAAACCACTACAAAGAAGGGGCAAAAAAAAAAAACAAGAAAGGGAAAAAAAAAATATAAATAGATAAAGAAGAGAGAGAGATTCCTCAGCCGTCCGATTTCGTTAAATTCGGGAAGTCAATCATTTGACACCTCTTTTCTCGTGTTCATGGGGTGGCTGAGATTTTTAGTATTTTCCATAAATGCCCCATAGTTAATACTGTCCAATCATTGGCCATGGAGGGTTGGTGATAGAGTGTTTTTTGTTAAAGTCTTTTATATAGTTTGTAATTTGCAGGAATCGCCATTTGTAAACAGTCAAAGGGAGGAACCAAAGCTTATTTGTTTGGAATAGATTCTATACACAAATATTTCCAAGTACTTTTATACGTAACCCCATGGTAGAGCATAGATATATGCACTAAAAAAAGAGTAGACATATAGACAAAGTAACATCTAATTTTGAGACTTTTAAGTTTGAGTTTTATATTTTTTAGTCCTTGTATAGAGGGTTATATTCCCCTTTGTTTAAAGATGTTATTGGAGTGACTTTGTCACGATTTATGTAATTAACTAGTTGGTAATTAGTTTTTCTTTTTTTTTTGTTTTTCCATTGTATTGTATTAAAGGGAGGGGAAGGGGGAATGGGGTGGGCGATTTTATGGTGCAGATATGCCATCAGTAATTGAACAAAACGAGAACGAGCAGCAAAACGAGCATGTGTATAGAGGCATGTGTATAAAGAGCAAAACGAGCATGTGTATAGAGGCATGTGTATAAAGAGCAAAACGAACATGTGTATAGAGGAACTGAGCATAATGAGGTGGCTAACCTCTTTGGTTAGATTGTCTGAAGAAGTGGAAAATAAATGACATGTATATAAGAAGCACGTGTATAAAGAGCAAAACGACATGTGTATAAAGGAGCATAATGAGGTGGCTAACCTCTTTGGTTAGATTGTCCGAGGAACTTTGTCGATGAATAAGGACAACATACTTAACTAGTTTTTTTGGCTCTATCTCACGACCTCCCACATGAAAAGATCACTATTGACATCTGAACATAAGGTGTTTGGCGAGCATAACTAGATTATTTGTTCTTTTCTTTGGAAGCGGTGACTTATCATCAATTTTTTCTTCCATTGACATTTCTAATTATCAATTTTGTACCTTTTTTAATTCTTCAACAAATTTGGACGAAACAATGCCTCTAAAAAGCTAAAATAGTTGCTAGGGAGTAACCATTAACCAGCTTTCAAAAGCCAAATGAAAATAGATTTCACAATTAATGTAATCGGAAGCTAAGGATGACTATGTCTTGGCCATTTACATCCATGATTTCTTAAATATTGAAACCGTGGAAAAGAAAAAACAATATGGATAAAAATCCCAGGACATCCGATTTGTGGCTATGGGATTCATCAAATCATTTTAACTAATCAAAGAAAGCTGTTGCTTATTTTATACCTCCATTGAAGTTGGATCTCCAAAACCTTCAAAAATAAGATCAGTGTCTGATATGTCCTGTCCACTGGTCAGACAATTCGCCAACCTACAAGCTGTGCTGTAAAAATTTTGAATAACTATGTAGATAAATACTTGGCTCCTCTGACGAATTCGATTTGATTAATCCTTGCTATGGAAATCACACAAGTAAACGGTTGGATCCTCTCGGAAGCCACTGAAAGAAGCTTGCTTCTCCCTGCCTGCCCTTCGAAGTTCTAGTGCAAATTATTCACAATCACGGCACTATCTTAGACGTTTCACTGACATGTCGGTGCTAATGCTCCTCTCCTATGATCTTTGAGGTAAACCCGAATCTTCATTACAAAGGCTGCTCAATTCTCTGGATTGTAGATGACCATTCCCATCTTGTTTGTTTACTATAATAGTCGAGCTATTGTTCTCTATGCAAGGCTTTTCCTCGTGATTGTTCAGACAGCCATTACTTTGACCATTTGGGCCACCATGTAATGTCAGTTTTGAAACCTCATCTGCAACTTTGGCATCTTGCTTGACACATTTATTCCGAGGACGCTTACCAAGAAATCCAGGAGAGAAAAGTGGCTTTAGTTTCTCACGTCCTCCATCAGATTTATTGAGCCCATCTTGAATGCCATGAACACCATTGCTATGATTCACCTTATCGTCGTGCTTTACAGTGGAGTTAGCACCATTCTCTACTATCTCACCACGGCTTGATATGGAAGAAGAAACATCACACTGTATTTCACCATTGCCGTGGGAATCTGTTTGACTGTCCTTGGTTGGATTTCTCAACAGATCAGCATTGGAACTTGCTTGGTTTATCCCAGCTTCAGTATCTACTCCAGAAATGACTGGTTGAGCCGAAGAAACCAAACTTTGAGCACGTTCAGCAGAGGTAGCAGTTTCTTCAGCCGCAAAGGACCTTCCATTCTCCTGAAACTCCTTAGTGTCTGATTGACTTGCCTCAGAGTCCACCTTTTCTTCCATAGAAACCTCAAAAGGACATACCTCCTCTTTAGCAATATCAGTTTTTGTGTCCAAACTTTTACCGGTTGACAATAATCCAGAATCAAGAAGAGGATCAATGGATTCTGCGGTAGCAGATTCAACATGATTGTTCAGACATGGCTGCACTTCTTCCACTTTGACTACATCCTGCTTCTCTTTCTTTAAATTTTCAACAGGGTATAAGGATGTTGGCCGAGCAGAAATCCTGTATAAAAATAAATCCAAACAAGAATTTGTGACCATTAACAATATTAGCTTTGATAAATGATAAGTGTATCCCGACACCAAACAGTTTGTAAGTGCAAATTTACCTGCTATACAACAGCATATACGCTCCCTGTGAAAGCACCTCATCCAGATCAACACTAGCAACCTGAACAAAGTTGTTATCCAGTTGAAACATATTCAAAATACAAGGCTAAATTGTGTACAGGGGAAGAAAATATTTTGTGAAGAATGCAGTGTATGGTTGCTTTTTCAGTTTTACTGAATATTGAATGTGCATTATATGCAAAAACTAAATTGAAGGTAAAGTGCATATGCATCACCTAAATCATGCATATAAGCATAAGTTATCTAAACCAAGTTTTCCAATCCATCACATGAAGAATGTAATTTCTATAGCATGTTTAAGAGTATGATGTTGCAACTTTCAGATTTGTCCAAACATATATATATAGCAAAAAGGGCACAGATGCAGTCATTCAAAAACCTTACTGACTATTATAATGGTATTGACGTTCACATTCATCCCAACAAGATACAAGGTTAACAACAAAGTTGGATTTAGCAACATTAATGATGTAGCGTGATAAGAACAAGAAACAAAAAGTATGAATGGAATAACCCAGTAGGCCTCATTTGAATTTCATGAAAATGTAGAAACAGCAGTTATAGGTTAACTGAATGAGTGCAGTGTAAGATAGAAGTGGAGGAAGGGGGAAGATAACCACCTTACAATCATCAATTCTGTACCATCGCCCACAAAAATCCTTGATATAGCATATGTAATGACCAAAGAAGGATGCATTCAGCATGTCCACATGAACGATGACAGCATAAAGCCTGTAAACATCATCACTCTCGCTTGATTCACTGGTGTAAGGGCGAAGATCTAAAGTCTCAGGAAAAGTCACCCTCTTATTTAGTTTTCCGAACCTCCCCCTCTGCATTAGCAAACAATGCTATAGAAATCAGATACACAGAAAATCCATCATCTGAGTTTACTGCCAGTATAAGGGCACGAAAAGACAAAATGGTCCATTCAAACAAAATTTATTCTTCAGCTGAATAATCACCTTAGCAAGTGTCCTTTCCAAATATTCTTCAAAAGTTATTTAGAAAAATCAAACACTAACATACAGCAGCTTCAAGAAAAAGGCTGTTATACTTGGGGGGGGGGGGGGGGGGAGGGGCATTCAAAAAGTTAATATGAGGTCGGAAGTTCCAATATCAGGAAATTTATAAATCATGCAAAATGCTTTGCAATTCTATAAAGACCACTTTGGTCTTTGGTATCACATATTCACTTAAGTACAATTTTACAAAAGTCTATTGTTGATATAATACAGCTGGCAGTCAATAAAATGGTATACAAGATGTTAAAATTAGATGAGAGGGGTACAAATAAAGGAAAAATCATTGAAATGTGAGCAATGCCTTGCAGTATATACAACAGTACAACACTGCATACATAGTCAACAGATATTGCAAACTGGGTAAATAAATTGAAATGACTACTTTGAGATAGCTATGGCCTATGGGGGAATTATGTTCCAACCCATATTTCTTGACATCGTGAGACTCAATTCCAATGTCTGCTTAATTATTATACTCACTTCCTAAATATTTTGTTCACCAAAAGGAAAAAAAAATGGCAATGAATATATAGAAGGTAAAATGACACCAACCTGAAACCGTTTTAAGGCAATTGTGAGGATGTTTGGTGCCCGACAGATCATAAGGCGCTTCCATGCTCCAACGTAGTCATTGCATCTGCAGAATCAAACACTGTTATTATCCTTTATAGTGTAAAGGCATTTTTATCATCATTTGTAGTGTGAGGGCATTTTTACGTTATTATCAATTTTACCATAATTAGGATATTAAAGCAAAGAATTACAGAAAAAAATGCAACCTAAAAAACTGTCAATGACTGTTTAATTGGATGATTATGGTATATGTTACAGTATTAAATTTGGTGACTGATATTTAAGCTCAATTCTGGAAAAGATGTATTGAAGAGAAGGCTCAAAACATGGACAGCTCAGACCATGTATAATTATGGTAGGGGTGCCAATTTCAAGATACCTGTTATCCACTCATACTCTAACCAAAGTTCTTTTAGAGGGTAAAAGATCAGTGTGCATGGTTTATCTTGGAAAAATATTGCTTCATTTGTGGATCAAAGGATGCTCACAACATCCACATTTTTTTATTCTACCAACAGGTAAGATATTGGTCAACAATGTTATTATATTATTATATTATTAACAAAATGTGTAATCAATAAAAAGCGGGTGCCCAAATTTGAAGCAACCAAAATTATTTCCACCCAACTTTTTATCCCAAACAAAGAAAGAGTAACTTTCTGCTAAAATTTCCAAGCAACACTGTTCCAGATAATAATAATAATAATAATAATAACCACATATAACATTAATAATAATCCATTGCAGCTGCTGAAAAGTTCATGTTATATAGGTGGATAAGGCACAAAATACGTTGGGCCAAAATAACACTAACATAACCGATTAATACTTCTGAAAAGTCATAACAATTCTTATTTAGTATTCCTTGCTGTGACTAAAATCTCAATAGTTATTTGAGAAACCACTTTTTCAGAGTAGCTTGAAAAACCAAGATCATTAAACAATGCCTCCAAGTCTCCAACCAATTGCTAGGAAATGTTCTAATGCTTCCTTGTTTTATATGCAAAATACAAAAAACCTATGCACAATTGTCCAATTCAGAGCCTTTCATGTAAAATCATGCACAATAAAACTCGAATACTCTTTTCTTTAAAAGTAATTATAAATTTTTTTTAATAAAATTCAAATATAAAATTTTCAAAATTTGATGCAAAATTGCAAAAATGAAATATAGTGGGGATGCCAAAGGAACAACAAAAACATACAAATACGGTGTCATTATGAAACGCCACATCAATGGACAAATGAGAAAAGGAGCTTCTAATAGAATCATGACCTATTGTCACAAATTGAACTTCTGGAGATTTAAATAATTAAACAATTAATACACTAGACATGGAGAGACTTGCCTGTCACATTTATACATATTATCGCCATGAAGAGACTCTTTAGCAGTGAACTGGTCTAAACATTCCTCCAAAGATCCAACATCACCATGAATCTCCACATTTAGGTCCATCATATTTTCATACTGATTTGAAATGTTTTGGCATTGTGTACATATGACCTGAAAATGAAAAGAGGGTCACAAGAATGACAAGATATACTCAAGTATTTAAGTTGAGAAGACTGGGTGACAAGTCATATTAACACTTGGAAAACTTCCATACTATTTTGAAAATATATTAGAAGCACTCAAGAATCAAGATGCTTAGGTGGCAACAGTAATCCCTACTTTCAGTCTTTCACACTAAGCTATTGTATAAAAATGTCTAAATATGAGCATGCTGATCAAATAATGATTTGTAGCAACACTTAAACCACACTCACAATGGCATAGGCCAAGGACTTTATATAAGAAGTTTCAAGTTCAATCTCCATTCTCCTTAGATGAAATCACACTTGCAATTGGCTCAAATAGATGCAGAACATAATTTACACTAAATCTTAATATCATAAATAATCACTCCATATCATTTTTTACCATTAACTATGAGAGCTACCTGAGACTGAAGATGACCACCAAATATATGCTGAATAAGAGTGGTCTCTTGCGAGTTAGGAGGAACTGCCTTTTCTCCACCAAATTCATCAAGGCAAACTAACTGCATTGTATCGATAGCAAACCTAAAAATATAAAATATTAGAAGTCAAAAGCATAATATCCTAACATGACTTCATAATATGTCACTGTAACTGCATGGGACAGTGCCTCTGGCAATCCTCAAAGTTTATGCTAACAAACAAACCTCATGAACTCATGAGCATCCTCCTGCTTTCCATAGCCAAGATTACCACCTAGACTAGGCAACCGTGAAAGAATGTTGATTGGTGAAAAGGGTTGTGAACTCTGGCGGGCCCTCTCAACATGGCGTTCAAATTCACAAAAGAAGCACCAATCGTTCCGTTTACCTGAAGCAAGAGAGAGAGAATAAAAAATAAATAACACAAATAAAACAGAGCAAAAGCAAAGGTTTGAAATCTGTATGAATTAATTTGATAACAGAAGTTGTCACTATAAATAATTGTAGAAAATTCCATTACATTCTCTCGCATGGCCCTTCTCCAGTATGTAGGCAATCAGTGGCTTAGTGTAAACAAGACACTGTAAAACCACATTGGCAAAGCAGCTGCAAAGAAAGAAAACAAGGGTAAAAGAAAAAGTGTCAGTAAAAATTTACTCATGCCATGCCTGCACATCATTTGATATACCCCATAAGATGGAAATATGGTCAAGAATACCTGTTTCCACAATTCAAAAGTCCACAAGGAGGAAAACCTGGCTTATCCCAGTTGAAAAGTTGCACAAATTCCTCATAGGGGAAAAGTATCTTTAAAAGATTAGCAACAAAACTCTATTAAGGTCTTTCATATTTAAAATATGCTGATATAAATAGAAAAAAGGGGGCTGAAATGCACCTTTCTTGACTGGCTGAGTATCTTAGAGCTTCCACTAGCAGGTACCAATGAAACTACAGAAGTTTTTCTCCTTCGCGGTGTAGATGTTGCCAGCACTAACTTATCTTTGCAAGTTGATCTAGAATCTTTGCATTTTGACTTGTGCTCAGAGTTCCAATGTGATTTTTGGCAAGTTTCAGAACTAAGAAACATATAGAACAATATAATAGTAAGTCAACACTTTGGACAAGAAACCATTTGTTCCTGCTCAAAATCCATTTACTAACAACAATCAACATCTCTACTACAGCATCTTCTTGTCATTAAGAACCTATACCATCTATTAGCGTTCAAGTCACGTATTTACCTAATAAAACATATTGGTGCAAAAACTACTCTTTGGATAAGAAAAGAGTTCCTGAAAATCCACTTACTGCACTCTGCAGTGACTATCCCAAAACAACAATCCAAGACCTTTGGGGGAATTGAATCAGTTAAGGACAAAACTTGTAGCATCAAAACATTCTAATACCCAATGAACATGACATAACTGATCAGCAATAAAATTACTAGTGGCCTAGTGGGATGTGAATTGAATATTACAACTATTCATTCCCAAACATAGGTAGTCAAAAAACATATCTTTTGCATAAATCAGACAAACACAAACATTGAAATCTAAAAAAGACAAGCCAAAAACGGACAACACCTGCAACCTAGCAACATGTTAAAGAACAAAATCACCCCGAACGCTATAAGGAACAGTTGCCTAACTGAACTCAAATATAATGGGAACTATTTGCATTGCACATTATTCACTCCCTAAAACGTGTAGCCAAACAACACATCTTACGGCAGAAAAATCAGACAACGAAACAAAAGATAAGGGAGAGAATTTTCCCTTGTTCTTCTATATTGGCAGAAACTATAAAATATATATAATAATAAACCCGCGCATCCAAATTATCATCCAAAAGCAAATAACAAGGGGAAACGTATATACGGAGATGGGGCGAGCGTGCGTACCAATACTTGACCATCTTACAACGCGAGCAGTGCTTGGATGATGGGCTGCGACAGACGATGCAGCCGTCGTCCAAAACCTCCATCTTGCGGTGATGAGCGGCGGCGGTGGAGTCGAAGCTGGCGTCGACGACGAAGTACTTGGAGGCTGTGTTCTTGAGAAGGTGCAGCAGTCCCAAGGCGATCAAGAATACGGTGGCTATCAATTGCAGCACCCAAGTGAGATTGAGATCCGCAGAGACCGACATGCACCAATCTCTCTATATATACCCGCTGCCACTCCTTCATACGCACATCACACGCACCCAAACGAATGTATATGATCCTCCGCCTTCCGCGAACGGAAATAGAAACTACTATACAAGCTGCTTAGTTCTTGCTTAAAGTACAATTGGGAAAGTTAGGGTTCGGAATCGGGTATCCAATTGCGCACGAGTCGATTCAAATTAGCATGGAGATTTGGGGATTTTCTATGCTTGGTTCATGAGTTGGTCATTAATGGTTCAATTAGTTTACTTGCTTAACTAAACAAATGTTATAATAATGAACAACATTTTGTCATTCAATGGAGTCACCAACAAGATTTTCGTTAATAGAAACTTCAATTAATTAATAATAGATTGTTTAGTATTAGGACTCTATGTATTTGACTTTGACTATGATTCCATATTCCAGTTTCTCTGAGACTTGTACATTGTATTATTTCATTCAAAACACAACTCTATTAGCACTAATCTTTAGTAACTAAACAAATTGTCAATTTTTAATAAATTTCACTGACTTTAATGGAATATTATTCTCAATTTATTTTGTAAGGAAATAAATAAAAAAAAATATTATTTATCAGTAAAAAAAACAAACAAACAAAAAAATAAAAATAAAGAATCACAATCGTTTTTTGAATGTGCATTTTTGGTAAATAAGGCAAATCAGTCTAAACTATTCATAATTGATCCCGATTCTCACACACACGGGCGTGCACACACACGCATGCGCTTATTAGTCGTACGCGTGTCCCACCAGGTGTCGTGCTCTCCCGCTAAATTTCTCCCTTTTTGCCATGTCGCACACCATTTTGGTATCACCAATTGCATTGATGACTGAATGAGAGAGCGATCCACCCTTTGCTAAATAGGCCGCTACTCACCTAGGTGATCCACTGACAGACGCCCAAGGGGCTTCGACAAGATACCAAAAGGCGACAAGGTCACGGACATATGAGCGAACCACCGGCCACCCTCAGGGGATCCGCTTGACCCCCACGTGGTCCACTACTCACCGGTGGACCGAGATCCAACGTTTGGGTTACAAACCGACACTCCCTTGGTTTAGGCCAACCGCTCTTTCCCGCCGCTTGAGTGTTCTCGGATTGTGCTCCATACCGCGCTGCCAACCGCATCATTATTCCTCTTTTTTTTATTTATTTAAAAAAAAAATCATACCCCCACTTTCCTAATTGGATCCCTCATTGGTCCAGCCCACTTATCACTTTTATTATCTATTGGGTCGCACCCCCAGGGCCCATAAGATAAACATCGTTTTGTCCATTTTAACTGTTTAACTTGGTCAACAAGTAAAAAAAAAACAAGACACCAATGGTAGCATTCATTGCCTTGTGCGATCATCTGTTGGCAAAAGCAATGACTTGTGGGGAGGCCCTCTCGTGGTTGGAGAATAAATATTGATTGAATGTTAGTATTGAGTTTGATTGCTTGAACCTTGTATATGCCCTCACGAGTAGATGGTATTGTCGTTCATATGTTGGGTATGTCATTAACGTTTATCTTTTTGTTTTGAACTCGTTAGGGTTGTGTCAAATAGTTCATATTAGGCGATCAGCGAACCAACTTGCCCATGCTCTTGCTAAGGCAATTGCTTCTCATGCTGGTTTATTATTGGGAGGATAATCTCCCTGACTTTGTTCGTGATTTTTTGAATAAATTACGTTGATTCCTAATAACCCGACAAACAAAATCATACCTCCCCTAGAAGTAGATGAGATTTACTTAATATCACGAAATTATATTCGCGTTGACCAAAATTTTTCTAAGTAAAAATTTACACCAAATATGATAATAAATTTTCATATTTTAAATTCTTAAGAAAGTTTGAACGACTATGAAACGCTCTCTAAGGAAAATGTTATAAAACCTAAGTACATATAACCATATAAACTCAATTATTAAGAATATTATGAGTGAAGTTTAGGAACAATATAAACTCAATTATTTAATTTAGGAATAAGGTCAAATAGAGCATCGGACGAATTATGTAATTAGGCTACTAAACCTATAATTGGATCTCTAAACTAACCAGTTTCATGCAATTCTTTCAATTTGTAAGTTTATAACATGTCACTCAAAATTTAAATTATTTTTTAAATATAATTATTTAAAATTATATTTAAAAAGAACATGACTTCCGGTCAGAGATTCCGGCCAAAGATGAAGAAGGTTTCTTCGTTTCTGGCAATGAAGACGAAGAAACGGTAAGAAGTCCTGTTTTTTTTTTTTTTTTTTTTTTTAATTTAAATAATTATTTTTTAAAATGTATATTTAAAAATAATTTAAATTTTGAGTGACCTGTTAGAAATTTGCAATTTGGAAGAATTATATGAAATTGGTTAGTTTAAGGGTTCGATTATAATTTTTTTTAAAATTTAGTGGTCTAATTATATTATCGTGTGCAGTTGGATAGCGTATTTAATCTTTATTCCTTTAATTTATGAAGATCTTTTAAAGTTAGTTTGCTTGTAAGTATTTAATCTTTATTCCTTTAATTTATGAAGATCTTTTAAAGTTAGTTTGCTTGTAAGTTTTGACTTTTGAGCGGTCAAGTAAGTGACTCTCTCAAATAAAAAGTCATGTGTTCAAACAACATTATTTTAATAGGATGAGAAAGTATATAAATAAAAAATGTTGACTTTTGATAAAATCCCAATACTTTAGGGGTAGTATTGAGATTTAGCAAGTTTTGGTAGGCGGCGGACGCGTAGGGTTGAACAAGAATCCACCGCTTGCGCCCTCCTTCTCAACAAACAAGATCATATATATATATATATTATACACACTAGTCGCGCGTAACCCTATTCTATTTCTAAATCCAATCCACAATTTCGAAGAAATGCCGGGATTAACCTGCAACGCCTGCAACAAAGAATTCAAAGACGACGCCGAGCAGAAGCTCCATTACAAGTCCGAATGGCACCGATACAATCTCAAACGCAAGGTTTTACACCTCTCCTTTCTTCGTTTATCAACTGTCATTCCAGTAGCCGAAAAATCTATTATCCTTGTTGCTACTTCTGTTTAGGAAATGAAAATCTATTAGCTTGGAAATAGAGTATAGAATATAGCTGGTGATCTGACCTGAATTCTAGCGCAACGAATTGAAATTTCAAATTCCTGCTATATTTGATGCACATAGACGGAGCTGGTTAACTGTTTTTGTTTGGAGGTGGGCGGCTGATTGGTGATTACTTCATTTGCTTGATAATTTAGATGTAGTTCGGGGACTTTATTCTTTAACTGCTTATGTTTCAGTGGCTAGGTCCAGGTCCGAGCAGATGAGGTTTTGTGGATTCTATTAGAATTTTAATTTGCGATTGTTATTTGTTAGACAATTTAGAGGTTGTTTTGATTATTAGATGATCTACTAGAGGTATTTTTTTTGCTTTCACCCTTCAAAAGCATTTCGTGAGGATGAGGTTGCCTGCGTTGATGTATTGGTTTCTGAGGAAATGATTGTCTGTGTGTTGACCCCCAAGGATGTTTGCTAGGTTTTCTAGCTTTTGTTGAATTTATACTCTTTCTGTTGGTAGTAGAGTATGTTAAATGATGAATATTCCTATAAGCCCATATGAGTATTAACCATCAAGGATGTTTGCTAGGTTTTTGAGCTATTGTAGAATTTATACTCTTGCTAGGATATTGTGGTGTTTGAGATGTTCAATGTTGAATATTCCTATAATAACCCATATGAGAATTTAAATAGTTTGCTTGAGGAAAAATTGGATAGAAGTGAAATCATTTTTCAGGATTAACTGGTGAAGTGGCAAGGCACATCATGGAGGTGCATTTGTAGACTTAGGTGCACTCAAGCTGATAGTGAGTCTATGCATGGGAATAGGAGGCTAGGCTCTCCTTAGGTTAAACATTGCTTAATCCAGTAATATTTTTGTAAGATGTGAACTACCAAGCAAGTTTGACATTTCCACTACTTATAACACCCCTTAAAGAGGATTTAATGGTATAGGAATTCCCAGGGTGTGGTAATTTGATATCCCAAAATCATTTTGGATTTCTGGTTGATCATTAATAGATTCCCTATTCCATGTTCAGCAAGAGTTTTAATTTTGAAGTTGTAATGCTTCTCTTAGGAGGTCAGATGACCAGAAAGATCTCTACTATTCTTTTAAGCTTATGAGCTTATCCAGTTTACTGTTTGTAGTTCATATTTCCTCAGCAGGCAGTGTGAATTGGTAAAGGCAATGTGAAAATACATTATTTGGTTCCTGGGGTTGGATTAATGATCTTTTTCAATACTATATCTGGTTTGTTTTTCACTGATCTCTTAATCATGGGTGCCCACTCAACCACCCTTTACCAGTTTACCCTGAAAGTTTGGGTAACTTGATTTTTTGGTTAGTGGCTGGGATTAACAATCTCCTCACTATTAGTGAAATGGATAATAAGTCCAAACAAGCCTTCACTGTATTGGCTACCCAGTTTGGACTTCCTGTGGATAACTCAGTTGCACATTCATGGATAATAGCAACTACCCAATAGCTTCCCAAATTGTTAATGGACGAATTTGAGACTTTAGGAAGTTAGTATGATTCTTTGTATCAGTCTCCAGAACTGCACATTCACTTTCTGTAAAATATTTCATGCATGAAATGCTTTACAATCCACTGTTCTCCTGTGTTTCTCCAATTGGGAAACACATTTGGATTGTTCCAACTTTGTTAATAATGTTGGAAAAATGGAAAATTATTTTCTATTTGTGCATACACACCACAATATATATATATATATATATATATATATTTCATAATTATTCTTTGGCTCATTTGTATTTATTACAGGTTGCAGGAGTGCCAGGGGTTACAGAAGCACTTTTTCTAGCCAGACAGTCTGTTATTGCAGAAGAGAAGAAAAAGTTGACTGAGACGCCCATGCTCTATACCTGTGGTGTTTGTGGGAAAGAGTACCGAAGTTCCCAGGCGTATTCTCAGCACTTGAAATCGAAAAGCCACCTGTTAAAGGCTTCACAAGAGCCTAACCATAATGGTGAAAACAGGGTTATAATTAGGCCTCTTCAACGCCCCATTTTGGATAGATCCACTCAGCAGGTAGAGGAAGATATTGATGAAAGTGAGGAGAGTGAGGAGAGTGAGTGGGAAGAGGTTGATGAAGAAGACATGGCTGAAGCTAGTGATTCTTTGATGCAACTTCAGTTAAATGAGCATACTTCTAATGGGAACATGCAAGATGCAGATATGGATGACTATAGTGAAGAGCTGGATCCATCTTGTTGCTTCATGTGTGATTTAAAGCATAGAACAATAGAACGCTGTATGGTTCACATGCACAAGCAGCATGGATTCTTTATACCCGATGTTGAATATCTCAAGGACCCAAAAGGCTTTCTGACTTATGTTGGTCTCAAGGTACTTCTCTCTGTTTCTAACTTTTCATTGTTTTAATTGCTTGTCATAATATTATACTTCAATATTTTCTATGTTTTTTCTGATTGATTCAGGTTAAGAGGGACTACCTATGTTTGTATTGCAATGATAGATGCCAACCTTTCAGCAGTTTAGAAGGAGTTAGGAAGCATATGGAAGCAAAAAGTCATTGTAAAGTGCACTATGGTGATGGTGGTGATGATGAAGAGGCAGAATTAGAAGAATTTTATGACTATAGCAGCAGGTACAGTCTTTTACGGTTTCTGTGATTTAGTTTTTAGTTACACCTGAGGATACTTTCTTGTATTAAACTTCTCTTTGATTTGTGTTATTACTGCTTTAGTTATTTGGATGCAAATGGAAAAGAGCTGGTTGCATCAGATGACACTAGCAGTGGAGTTGAGCTTGGAAGTGGTGGGGCTGAGCTAATTATTAAAAAGAGAACTGATGATGGAGTATCTACCATAACACTTGGATCAAGAGAGTATTTGCGATATTATCGACAAAAACTGAGGCCCACTCGCACGAACGATATTGCTCTTACTGCTGCATTAGCTTCCAGGTTTGTTTGGATGTTCCTTATTGGCGGTTTTCAAGAATGCATATATATCTCTCATCATTTTATAGAGTTTCAATAAACAACAAACTTTTGCATCTTTCAGGTATAGAAGCATGGGCCTAGCAACCGTGCAGTCGAGAGAAAACATGGTTAAGATGAAGGTGATGAAGGCCATGAATAGGTATGGTAACGAGGCAATGCGCACCAAGATTGGTATAAGAAATAATGTCATCCGAAATCTCCCCAATAACGTACCCTATTAATCCTTGTTATGTTATAAAGGTGATGCTAGTTGTGAAACTTTTAATGGAGTTAAGGAAATATATTGGGTGGGTGTTCGTTTTGTTACTTTTGTGCTTTCTCATTCTTGCCTTGGAATGTTTTCAGAGAGAATATTGATAAGAATTGATTCGTGATTATTTAAGAACAAAAATTATGTTTTATTCATTTCATCACCTCTTTGTGGTATGAGTCCCGGTGTTTACATATATCGATTGATGATTGTTGGATTTGTTGCTACAATGTTCACACTGTCAAATATTTATATAGGAAAATTCTAAGTTTTGCTCCCCAAGTGAAAAATATAAAATTTAAAAAGAAGAAGCCTGCTTCTATTTTTACGAAAATAAATATAATGTCATATGCAAATTAATTCTATTTTTATTTTTACAAAATAAAATAATGTCACACGTACTACGGACCTAAAGATTGTTTGGGACATAGGAAATCTGCCATTCTTGATCTTAGGGGATGTTTGGTTCATGGATTCCTCAAATTTGAGGAAAACAAAATTTTTGGTTGATTAAGGATTTTGTTTTTCATGAAAGATGGGAAGAAAAAGTGAGGTGGAATGTATATTTTACTCTTGTTTATTCTTTTAATGAGTTAATATCCAAAATCGTCCTCGACTATAGTGATTTTTCTCAATTTCGTCCTAAACGACTTTGGTGACCTAATATCGTCCCAGACTTTTGTGTTTCACTCAATTTAGTTCTAGACTTTTGTGTTTTTGCTCAATTTAGTCCTTCATTTGTTATTCTGTCAATTTGGTGTTAAATAAATAGACAATTCAGTAATTTTAATATTGACATCTCTTTACTCATAGACATGTGAACTGCGAAATCTTTTTTTTTTTTTTTTTTTACGAATTACTCCCAGAGTTACTCCTAAAACTGCGAATATAAAATTTGATTTGCAGGTTCGGGAGTAATTCTGGGTGTAATTCGTACAAGAAAGAGGAATTTCACACTTCACAAGTTGAAAGTAAAGAGAGATCAATATTGACATTACTGAATTGTCCCTTTATTTAACACCAATTTGACGGAATAACAAATGGAGGACTAAATTGAGCGAAACACAAAAGTCTGAGACGATATTAAGTCACCAAAGTCGTTTAGGACGAAATTGAGAAAAATCACTATAGTCGAGGACGATTTTGGGTATTAACTCCTTTTTTAATTATATTACTTTTATTAATTTGTAGGGGCATATAGGTCTTTATACTCGTTATTTCTTACAATTCAAAATCTAACCAAACAATAGAATTAGTATTTCCAGTAATTCTTTTTCCACCAACCAAACAATGAAATTCATCTGCCTAGTAATTTTTTTTTTTCTATGGAATTTCAATTCCACTTCCTTTAAAATATTTTTTGTGAACCAAACGAGCCCTTAGTGTCGGCGGTCATCAAACCTTTCGACTTCGACTCCGCGCATTACGCCTTGGTACGTCGGAATCACCGACGCCAACGTTAGCAGCGCGGTCGTGCCCAGGAATTAAGTGACGCCACCGTTTGGAATCTGAACAAAGAGATCGCCGCCGTTGGCCAGCTCCATTCCCATCGCCGCCGCAAACCCAATCATGACTAGCCGGCCGTTGATTCTCTCCGTACCACTGAAAGATAAAATGTCCCAGAGATTAGTGCTAGATTTCGCCACCACTTTTGGTGTAGGAGAGGGAGGAAGAGTTGGTTTAGGCACTATGGTAGATGACTCCCCATTGGCGTGGTTGGTTGCTCTTTCCTAGCATCATTCTGCAACAATACGTTTCCTAGCCGCCGATGGTAGAGAAGCAAGTGGGAAAGTATACATACGGTCAGAGACGCAAGTGGAACTTGCATCTCTTGTATAATACCACAACCGCAAGTACCACTTGCGACTGTGATTAATTTCGGAGAAAAAAAAATCAAACGCAAATGCTCTTTTCCGAATCTTGTCCAATTTTCAAAAGCTTCCCATTTTTGTCAACAAATTTGATTTCTTTCTCATTTCAGTCTTTGACCCTCTCACCTTTCACCCACCTAAATCTTGTTCGTCACGATGCCACCCATGGGTCCATGGCTACTTTGGTAATTAACCAATGTGTTTTATGGCTAGAGTAATACTATACATATTCTCAAATTCTATTACACTTTTATTCATAAATTATTTGACGTGTTTTGGTTCATTAAAAAAAAAGAGTAATTTATAATTTGTATTATTCTCTTTATCTTCTATCAATAAAATTAGTCGTATGAATTTAAAGGTACATCATATAATTAAAATTTAGTCATGATACCTCATAATCTAACAAAACAAAAATCAAAACATGTGAGAGTAAAGTTCATATATCATTTTCCTCTAGCATAATATAAAACATAACATTACTTATTTAACATACATTTCATTTGCGGAATGAAAAGTAGATGAATAAAATGAATGGAATAATAAGATACCTGTTGCATTGCAAGTTAGTTTGCAGGCCTTTAGCTCGTGAAGAACAGTAAGAACGAGAATAAGAGTAGAAAGATGAGGGAGAAAAGGAGGATAGATCCATTCATCATCATCCATCATAGTACAATGATATATATACAAGATACACTAAAGGCATACAATAATGAAGGATAATTACATCCGTTACAGACGTTACAAAGCTACTATATTAATGTCCACCATAAGTTTTATTTATAACACTCCCCCTTGGACATTATTTGATCATGATCTTGCCTCATTAAAAACTTTCTAGGAAAACCCTGTGGGAAAGACCTAGACAAGAAAAGAGTACAATAGAAAATATATTCATGCCTCATTAAAAACTTCACTAGGAAAACCACGTGGGAAAAACCTAGTTGAAGAAAAGAGTACATGATATATATAAAAACATATATTGTATTTGGTCGCCTCATTAAAAACCTTAACTTAAGAAAACCCTGTGGGAAAAACTTAGTTAAGGGAAAAAGAGTACAACCATAAGCCTTCAGGGCGCAAACCGCATAATCTTCAGGATTTTGGGGTTTGTCCATTTAAGCAATTATTTTGCAACTTTTCCTCATTGTCATTACTATATCATACTCATGCCTTGTTAAAAACCACACTAGAAAACCCAATGGGAGAAAACTAGTGAGGAAAAAAGTACATGATATTTATGTATTTATGTGTTGCAAATAGTGCGCAATTGTTAGTCTTTTATGACTTAATCTTCAGGATTTTACGTTCAATGTTCAATCTTCCGGATTGATTCGAGTAAATGTACTTCCAGTCTCCCCCTGAAGATAACAATCTTCAAGTTCTACATATATTTCAAATTTTGAAGAGATGGATTGGACAAATCTTCTGGATTGTCACTTAGAGTAGTGTACAATAATCTTATGGCTCTTCTAGAGCTAATATAACATTTGTGCAACACAAGTGTTATTGTCCTCATTTTGAACATTTAGGGAAATTCATTGTATAACCAGTTTGGACTTGGCATTGCGGGGATCAAACAAAACAGCCAGTACCCAAGTAGCCTATTAAAACCGTATCATGGTTTCTTACATAAATGTCATGTCTTTGTATCTCGAAGATACCGGAGGATATGTTAATCATTATTCAAGTACTTCATTTGTAGGGGGAGCACTATATTTTGCTAGCAATTTTATCGCAAATATGTTGCGGTTATGGAACTTCTGGTTCTATAATGGTGCTCCAATGATAATGAAGTAAGGGACTTCGAGTCCAAAAAGGTTCCTTATCTACTTCAAGAGATTATTAGGCAACCTTTAGTTTGATAAAAACATGACACTTATATGCATATAGACATATGAAAAAGCATTTTTAGATGTAGGCTGACTGGTGTATATAAAAAAAACTGTAAAGAAAAACTCGATCTTCAAGTCGAGATAATACTTATAGCTTTCACAAGCTTTTTGTTTCAAAAGTCTCAGTCTTTAAACATGAACTGACATCATCAAGCTCTTTATATCTTTCATTGATGTTTACACCATCAATCTTGACTGAGATAATAAATAATAAATAAGTTCATTATCAACCCTTTATCGAGCACACAATGGTACATATTATTCCTTCAATGAGGATATTAACTCCATTCGCAACCCTTTAAAGAGTAGATAATGACACATAATAATACTTAAAAATGAGAATTATGAATCCATCAGGGATTTCTCAAGATAAATTTAACTGCATATCTAAATTTATTATTATTCTGCCAATTGTATTATGTAGCGGAACTTAATGCCATTTACCGTGGGAGATTATATTTGATTAAAATCAATTAAGGGTCTCTGCGTGAACCCATAGGCTACAAACTCGCTTTATCACCTCATTATTCTTATTTCTCTTTTATGCACACACCCATTTGTAACCTTCAGGGTTAACACTCAAATGGTGTATTGTTATAAAGAGAATTTATTCATTTTAGCGAGTCGAGCTATGCCTTAATTGCTCCTTTATATATTAAATAGTCATGGCACTTCTGGTGCTTAACTCTGGATCCAGATTATATAACGAGCAATTTGTAATGGCAATTGTGTTGTCGACAACTATAACTTTTTTTGTAAAACTCCCATATTTGTAAAAGTAATGGCAATTTCTAAAACAACCAGATTCTAAACATTTCCCAAAGATATTTTGATCTGGTCGTTCCGCATCCCTAGTATTACGTTTGTTTGGTGCACCTATAAGTCTTACCAGGGTTTTTCGTCATCTGGACGAACGTCTGCAGGACATAATTATTCAAACTATTTCAAGAGTGACAATATTTCTTTACTAGATCTAGTATTATGATCCATATCTCTTTCACCGATAGATCTCCTACACTTCTAGTGTCAAGGAGTATCGATAGATATGTTTGGTCCAAGGATATATGACCTAGTCACTTCTTTTATGATCATTATGATCAACAGATGTATTTGGCAGATTATTTGCTAAAATCACAAAATAGATTATCTTTTGAACTTCCAGTTCAATCTAACTAGTACATGGATTTAAATAATGAAGATGTTTTTATTCTTATGAAATTTCTTGGCATTCCAAAAAGCTACGAAGTAGTATATTATCTCCCCCTAATGCCGAGAAACAATCTTCATTAGGAATGTAGTCAACGTACCCAATTATATGTATTGATCCCCTATCATGGGCTTTCGGTATTTAATCAATAGATGGAGGTTTCTTTGGTAGCCCTTTTAGAGGTACGTTGTGGTGGTGATATAAAAATAGACTGCGCAAATAAAATAACGCAGATAGGGAAATGTTACTTCTTAAACCACGTACTAGGTGAAAAAGGGGGTATAACAATCCTTGAAGGATTGATTTGTGATATGCATCGAGTTAGACTTAGTAAAAAAAACTTGACTCATAGTAACGTCAAGCAATCCTTCGGGGATTGATGGGATAGGTTGACCATTTTTGGTCAAGAATTCATTGTCAAGATTCATCCTAAAAGGATGACTTAGAGAATTAAAATCCTTAATCTACCTTCAGGGCAAATAAATATACAAAATAATGAGGGCTATAAATTTAAATATCATATGCCCAAATCTCATGTCAAAAAGTTTCTATAGCAGAAACTAGCACTGTAAACATGTCATAGCCTTTAACTATTATCACATGCAAGCTAAGGTTTAGCAACGACAGGTGCAACCTAACCATATTGAGAATTCATGATATTGCCACACTTATAAGTAGGGTGATGAATCTCAATAGCTATGGCCTATAGCAAATAATTAATTGCCAACAAGAAATAACAAAAGCTGTTATATGAGCCTAATCAAGAGATTATATGCTAAAAGTTGTCAATTAAAGAGAAGCATGCAATAGCATGTGATATAATTGTCCCTTATGTCTTGGACACCAAACTCTCTATTGAGTCATGCACATCCATTAAAGAGTATCATGTTTGGTACACACAAGGCATGACATGACAAGAGATATTGTTTATTAATTCATAAATTAGAAAAATGAGAGAAGTACCGTTCGTCGAAGAATAATGAGCACATGTTCGCTGCCGGGCCCATTCATTCCTATTTCGGGGAGTCAAAAATAGCACTTTTCCAAGCAGGCTCTCATTTTATTTCATAGTTTCATATCAGCATGAAAACATCACAAAACAGCAAGATATACAAGCTGAAGACGGCAGAAAATTTTCAGAATTTTGACCTGGATTGCAGGATTTTCTGGGGGAAAACGGTAACACATTTTGACACAAAGTTTGGCAGATATGTAGTTCAGCAAGTCTAGAACGTACATAAAAATTTTCATCTCAATCCAAGGTGTGGAAGTATTTTTTCTGAAATTTTTCACAACATTGCTCCAGGCAGAAAAATAATTGGCAGCACACTGCCAAAACTTCACAAATTTTTCTGGAATAACCATAGCTTATTTTTAACAAAATATTTTTACAGACATCAAATATCACGAGTCTAGGTTCTCCAGAAAAAATTTCATGCCAAAAGGAGTTCAACAAGTATTTTTCACGAATTTAATTTTCAAACTGCGCCTGTCAGAATTTTCAGGCAGTGATTACTATGTGTAAAAAAAAATCACAACTTGTTTGCTTCAGGCAAACCAACATGATGTGAGTCAATTTTAACTTTTGGACAGTAGCATAGCATTAGAAATAGAAGTTTCAAACTTCATTCATGAGTCATAAATCACCTTAAAGATCAATCCCATTTGAGGTCTTATAGACCTTTATTAAAAACGATCCAATGACCAAGCATATTTGCCAAGTAGGAAAGGCACGGAACTCATAAAGTACATTCCAACAAAAAAACTAAAATTTTGATGTCTTTTTAAAAAACAATGACATTCAAAATACTTATTATAATCTGGTCATGTACTACTACAGGAGTACAATGTGACTATCACATATGACAATGAGACGCACACTATTTTAAATAATTTTTAGTTATGTACTTCTACTAGAGTACAACGGATTCATGTACAATCCGAAAAGGTACCATCCGGGAAGTAAAAACCCGTCCAGAAAATTAAACATAGAGAAGTAAATTCTAAATTGTCAAATAATTTCGGGTGACCCACGAGAATTAACTTCTCAGATCATGCGTCCATTTTGTACATTAATGGATCACAATAATTTATTGATCATAGGATCATACGATCCTTCAGGGATCAACTTAGACTCTAAATCTTTTCGATCAAATATTCATAACCGATGGTTTAGACTAAAAGGTGTCAAATAAAAATTAGTGCTCTAAGTGTTTACCTTCTGGGCAAAACAATATTGAAAATATGCACTTTTATTGTGTTCAAATACTCACATTTGAGATATTCAAGATTCAAGACTCATGCCATATAATTTTATGATAAAAATTAGCACCATCAATATGCATGAATTTGGAAAAATAAATCATTTGACTTCCAAAACAGAATTAACTCAATTTGACATTAGTCATGATACTGCTAATTCTACGTAAGCAATATAAATAACACAAGACCAAGTAAAGCAAGTAAGTCTTTATTGATCAAGGTAGAGTTCCTAAGTACAATCTACTTGGTTGCACTGAGTACCGATTGACTGCGGTCGGGAGTCTCTAGTTACAACCTATCGA